ATATATAGAGTTAGGATCATATGAGAATGGTTCCCCATGAAAGAAATGAGAATAATTATACACCTTTTGATCCAATGTATCAATGGCCAAGATTAAGTCAAAACTAAAATATTGGTGTAAAATATATGGTGGCAATTCCGTAAATAAAAATACACTTCAGGGTCAAATCTAAACATGTAACCATTAAATAAGGACAAAGTGGTAATTACTTATTTGCATTCACATTACATGCGGGCCCCACCTCCACTCCATCAATTTTTCCATTCCTCTCTCACATACGCATACACCTACATTAAATTTCCTGCCTCCTCAGTTCCCCACCGGAAATGAAGCTCGCCACCACCTACTGCCACCCGCCGCCATCTCCGACGTTCGAGCAGCTCCGCCGGTCGCCACCAGGGGCAGCCGCCGTCCGCCACAAACACGATGGTCCATTCCACCATAGAAAGCCGCCGGCCAGCCTCCGTCCAAGCTTCACGCAGGCAAGTCGTGTTTATCCTTCGACGAACACCGGCGGAACCAGCTCCACTGTAATCAGCCACCTGCCTTCGTCCTCCATGGCTCCATAGCTGTTTACAACCAGCCTCCTGCAGATCTCGTCATGGTGCTCGTCACCGCGCAGATGGTGGCATTGGGCGGAGAGATCTTAGCGGACATAGGTGGTCGACGGAGGCATATACGGCGACGACGGTGGCTGGAGAATGGCAGAGAAGCGGGAGCGCGCTCTGCTATGTGCGCCAAGCTATGCGACGTCGGTGGAGCAGGAGGCTCCGGCGGCGACCCGTGGTGCGGGTATGCTCCGGTGAAGATGGCAGTCCCTGTGTGGCGGCGACGGTGGAAGTACCCGGTCGCCGGAACTGACTGTGTGTTACAAGGGCTTTGGGACCTCCTTTTTAAAAATTTGATAATGTTTGAGGATTTATATGCAAATTTAGAAAGTTGACTATTTTTTCAATTGAGTACATGAGTTTAATTTGTAATTTATCAAACCTTAATAAATGCAACATATTGAGGAGTACATTGCACATTATAGGTTGTACATATGCATATTATGATAATATTCTTGTTTTATTTGAAACTATTAAAATTTTAGTAATTGCACGGTAATGATAAATAAATCGCACAATAGTGTGTGTACATTAGCACTTTAAAAATTTGTTTAACATATTCTTATATATTTTGATCGATTTAGTTATTTTAATAAATACATCCGACATCAAATTGAAATATCAAAAATTTTAAATATACCAAATAGTTAATTGAGTCAAAATATATAAAATTTGCACCAAAATTTACTTCACTTGGGAATCAATTGATATAGTGCAATTCGGTCAGTCACTAATATGCAATCGGCCTAACATAAATCTGATACCTGAGTTTTAAAAATAATAATAAAAATAATAATCGAATCGAAATATAAATTTTGAATTAAATAAAAATAATAATGATAATCGGATCGAAACAAAATTTAAAAGTTCGTACCGAATTTATGTTCGTTGGTTATCGTTCGATTTTGTGCAACCTGGTAGTCATTTATGTGCAATTTGTATAACTATAATGTGCACTTGCAATACATACAAAAAATAAATAAAAAATAGTATTATTTTTCATTAAAAAAACTATATATAAAAAAATTGGTAATATTTTTCATACAATTTGTCATGTTCAGTTATTATACTTATTTAAAAAGACTATATTCGACATTTAGTCGACTAATATTTTATTCAATCGATTAACATAATTGTTGTATATTTTGGTACGTGCAGCGTATTATTCTATTGCAGCGTATTATTCTATACGGTGCAACGTGTTGTTGTTATAAGGTGAAATATATTACC